TATTTAGTGGACCGGGCTCCACATAACCTAACAGATGATACTGACAATTTGGCATAGCTGTTAACGACCGTCTTGAGTTAGATGTTGACAAGGGAGGCATCTTGTTCGAGAGATTGATGAAACCTACAAGGAGATTTGTTGTCTCTCTATTAATGCATTTTTTTTTTTAATCAAAGGCACTTTCACTCTTCTTTTTCTTGAATATATGAATTGTTTTTTATCCTGAATATCAACTATTACTTGTGGCTAAAATTTAACTATAGCTGAATGCCCTGACCAATCTTGACTTCAGTTTTCTTTAAAATAGTTATAGTCTTGAATTAAATAAACATACTTTTTCCACGTTCAAATTGTTTTTTGATCATAAGCTTATGGTGACCTCATTTCTAGTTTTTTTTTTATGTTTCTACAACTTATAATATTTGCAATCTACTATAAATGTGATCAAATGGAGGAGCATGAAGAATGAGAATGAAGATATATAGTATGAAAACCTTAAAATAGCTTCCAATTTTTCCTTAGGATATTACATGCCAATCATTGCAGAAACATTATGCACATATAACATGCTTTTGTGACGCTAAACTACTAGGAATTTTATGTTTCTCTTAAATGATATGCCCACAAACAGTTTACTTTTTTTGCAAGAGAGTTATTCATAACTTGCCCATCTCTTAGAATTTTTGTTGAGCAATTGATTGCTTATCAAAGAATACTAAAAGATGTCAGCTGCAGATCTCTTAGCTCCATATGCATATAGTGGCAAAACGATGCAGCAAATGAATAATAAATAATGAAACAAAATTCAAACTTTTATTAGATGTTTAGTTAAACTCTCAACATCCTAAAGAAACATGAAAGGAGTTATGGAATTATTATGCTGTCTCTGCCACCTTCTTCTCCTTGTCTTCATGCTCATCCACAGGAGTACTTTTATAATAAAATGCGTACAGCAGAAGCTGGAGGAGCCCCAAGATTGCTCCCAACCCGTTTGGTATCTGCACTGAATGATCACTAATTAATGACATCCCAAACAAGTATTTAACAATCAATCATAGTGAGAAATATAAGGGGAGAATGGGGGTGAGATTACCAGTATAAATACATCGAGTTTGATGAGTGCATATAAACTCCAGCATATGCCATTAAGAAAGCCAGCCAAGGAAAGCCAGAAAGGCATGTATTTCACGCTCTTTGTCTTCATCACCAGCTTCTACTATCAATTCAACTCCAACACGTGTAAATTTGAGAAGAACACATGTAATTCTTATATAATTACATATCTAATAACCTAAACTTTCATTATTTGAATTCATGCCACTTAAATAATTGGCACTACATCAAAAACAACATTATTATTGACTTTTTTTAAGTGATTTACAACTTTTAATGCATAAGTGTTATAAATGTGTAAATCAAATTTTGGTGTTAGATATTGGACATCCTGATTCCAATTAAAATTTGACACGTGTCAAATTGATAAAATATTATTTTATTATAAAAGCTGAGAAATTTTAAGCCCAACCCGATCATGGTGGTTTTTCTTTAGTACAATTACTTTGTACTAAATAAAAAACATCCAAATAAATAATATTCAATTTAAAAGTCACAGTGTACGACATGATTGCACCCAAAAAAACTTTAAGTACAACCATGTTGTACACATTAATCAATAAGGGTCGAGCTTTTCAGACTTTGTCATGATGTACAACATGGTTATATTCAATATTTTTCTTCAGTACAACCATATTGTACTAAGTAGGAGACATTCAAATAAATAATTCGATGTGAAGCCATAGTGTACAACATAATTGCACTAAAAAAGCATTCAATACAATCATATTATACATGATAATTAATAATACAGATCGAGCTTCTCCGCCTTTTAGACAATAAAATAATGATTTATATATTTAACAAAAGTCAAATTTTAATTGGATTCTAGATTTAACTGTACGTTCGGACTCCGAACTTAATATCTTCTCTAGATATTGTGTGGTATGCATGCATATTTTTCTATATTATATTTGAAGCATTTAAAAATTTGTTTCACATGATTGTGTCTACATATAAACTTATAAATATATATATATATATATATATATATATTATGTTTTGGATGTCCGCACATTCGGATAGCCGACTACCGACTGCCAAGTAGTATATATATATATATATATAAGAGAGAGAAGAAGAAGAAGATGATATATCATACCATGATAGATAGGGGTGAGGCATACATGCATATACAAATGATGATAGAGAGAACGCCAACAATGAGAGACCTCAAGTCATGCGTGTGTGCGGCCGTGAGCGCTAAAGTCACCACCACCGCCATGAACACCAACTCCCCCGCCAACACCTTCATCACCTTCATCTGTCATCCAAAACAAAACCTGAAACCCTTATTCTACGCACTGCTCCACAAACCCTAATTAAACTCAGAATATAAATATTAACAGATCTAACCCTAGTCTCCTTTGGCGAAAAGAAGAAGAAAAGTGAGAGGTAGCAGCTAACGATTATGACTCCTGCGCCATTGATGGTGGAGACGAGAATGGTGTTGGGATGGACTATGGGCAGCCCGTAGAAGACCCACAGCATGCAGTTGATCAGCATCATCTGATATGGGATGGGAGAGAACTGCTCCACTGACTTCTTCCTCCATATTTTCACCAATGTTGGAGCTGGTGAGAGGAAGAGTCCCAAGGAAATCACGTTGCCTGCTTATTTTAATGCCGGTCAGTTTTGTAATTTTGGAAAATTTACATGGTTATATGCTTATTTGCCTAATACATAAACTTTAATTTGTTCCACTTGTAATGTTTTGGTGCCATAAATGTACACATAACAAAATTATATAACTTCTAAAAAGTTATTTTAAGTTTACTTTTGAAGTGTGTTTCATATATAAATATAAAAAGTTAATTATTAGATATGTAATTGAATAAAAATTGTGTGATAGTATGTTTTTAAATTATATATATATATATATATATATATA